GGTACAATTTGAACAACAAAATAAAGTAGTATTGGATGATAGTCCAAAGTAGAAAACAAATATCCATGAGTCCACATTGATATATTAGTGATTGAATAAATTAATAAATGAAGGCGAAGGGACAAATCTCCCATGCAGAAGAATTCTAAATAATGTATATTGATACTCCATCCTCAAGGAGGGGGAGCAAAACTTCTCCCTCCCTGCCAGGCCTGAGCTTCACATCTTACTCCACTATTTCATTTAAAGCTCACATATATGTCTGTGTTTATGCTCTACTTCAGTTAGTAACTTGTCAAAAAGGTCAAGTTCCAGTGCAGTCAACATCATCAGCCATCACTTATGTTGACAAAAGCACACATGATACAATGGGATGGAAATGGACTCTGAAAATTGACTTCCTCCCCCAAACTCAGAACCTGAGTCTAATCATGAGAGAAGCGTTGAACAGACAGCGCCTGGAGGGTCGGTTCTATGTGTCAACATGGCTGGTCTTCAGGACCCAGTTACTCACTCAAACACTAATCCAGGTGTCGCTGTGAAGGTATTTTGTACCTGTGATTGATATCTACAGTCTGTTGACTTGAAGTCAAGGGTATTTGAATGGTCCTTGTCCAATCAGTGGAAAGGCCTGAAGAGCAAAACTAAGGGTTCCCTGAGGAAGAAGAAATTCTACCTGCGAACCACAGTGTCAGCGCCTGCCCTGCAGGTTTCAGACTTGTCTAACTGGCCCCCACAATTGGGTAAGCCAGTTCCTGGACAGTGAAGCAGTAAACCAATCAATCAGTCAGTCTCTCTATATATGTAAACACTTATCTATAAACCTATCTAGAAATATACAAATATCTATATATTTACTTATAAGTATCTATATGTATATATGTACGTCTACAAGTATACACGGAGAGAGACGCTTATACAACTATAACTATATGTCCCTATTTGTCCTACTGGTTCTTATGAATAAAAAAAAACATAATGGAAATCATAATGTGTTTTGAATGAAAAAATATTTTGGGGATTTGGCTAAAGCTATAATAATATAAAACTTTATAGCCTTAAATGTATATATTGGAAAACAAGTTTATAATGAACAATCTAAGTTACCCATATCTATTATTTAGTAGAACAAAATGAGTCTCTTAAAAGTACAAAGAAGAAAATTAATAATAAAAATACATAAAATACAAACTAACACATCAATAAAGGCAATCAGTAAAGAAAAGATAGTCCTTTAAGAAGATTAACAAAATTTAATCATCTCTAACATGATTTTTCATGAAAAGAAAAGATCGCATACTGCAAATGTCAGAAATGAAAAGGTTAACTTCACTACTAAATTTCAGGACATTTACAAAATAAGAGGATATTATGGATAAATTTATTTTATGTGAAATAATTTAAAATTTTCAATAAAAAAGACAAAGTCCTAGAAAATTATGGTGGAACAATCCAACCTAAGAAAAAATAAGAGATTGTCTCTTACCATGATGGAGTTTGCTATGTGATGTAAAGTGGAAAACTAGATAAAATATATGAAACAATTGTCTTAGACACTGACAGAGAGGCAGTGCAGGGCTGTGATCTCTAGGACAAGGGGGACAAACAAAGTGAGCCCTATGATGGTCTCAGCCCCTCCTGGAGGCCCTTTCTAGACCACAGTGCCAGGAAGGTATCCTGAAGCAGTGGGTTTGCTGGGTTGAGATGAGAGATCAGGGGAGGCTGGAATACCTGACATCTGCGAAGTGGAATGCTAAATAAAAGGGGGCTTTGTAGAGACAGCTGCAGAAATATGCATCAGAGTGTCCTTCAGAAGCATCATTAAACACTAAGCCACTCCTGTGAGGGTGAAACGCCACACATCTGAGAGTGGCAGCTGTGCGATAAGGCACAGAATTCCCAGAGCTGACAGAAGGCTAGGATGTAGCCCAGTTCTGACCACCCGGACTGGAGAATCCTTGTTAAACCCAAGACATTCAAGAGCGACTCCAGAAATGTAACACTTTAGTAGTTAATGAGGACTATTTTAGCTTTGGCAAATTTAAACCTTCCCTAGCACCTCAAAAATAAACTTCAAATGAATTAAGTTGATCATGAATAGGTTAGCAAATTGCTTGTTAGAGGGAGGCCTCTGAGGGAGGCAGCACCAGACTGCAGTTTAGGAAGCTTTCCAGAGAATGCACCAGCTTCTTCTTGCTCTGGGCCAGGTATGCTTCAGTGCGGAACACCTGGGGGCAGGAAAGAAGGTCAGGGCCACTCGGGTCTGCTCCACAAAAGGATCCAGGAGTCCCTAGCCAGGGCCTCTGGGGACCAGAACCCTCTCACTAGCTCCTTCCTTCTAGGAACTGCGTTACCAGCCCCCCACCAGTCTACCCTCCCCTAGGAAGAGGCTTTGGGGAGGCAGACGGGGCCCTGAGTGGGGAAGCAGAAAGAACTGAAGCAAACCAGGTGGCTTGTAGCAGGTCAGATGGGACTAGAGCAGACCAGGCCAGGTCAGGCAGGGCTGGGCCAGACTACAGAGGCCGGGACTACCCTGGCCACACAGCATAGGAGCAGCTAGAGCAGACTGAACATGCCAAACTAGCAAAGTTTAAAGTGACCCAGGCCAGAGACAGGGCCCAGCGTCCGGGCTCCCCAGCCCTCACCCACCCCTGCTCACCCTCTCT